CTAATTTATATCAAATCCACTATGGAACCCAAGAATTACAGCACTATTAGAAGCATTCTAAAAAAAGCTCAAGGAGAAAAAATTGCACTTTATGTTTTTAAAATGAATGACACCAAAATTCTTGAGGAATATCTTAGATAAAGAAAAAATTACATACGAAATTTATCAAGAGGAACGGAAAATCATAACTAATAAACGAGCCTTAACGCCAACACATGATGAACCAAGAAAGAAACGAAAACTTGAAGAAACATAAAGCAGAATGGCTGCTTTCTTTATTCTTGTTAATAATTATCAATAATCGGGGACAAATTTCCATGATTCTTTATATACTGTTCGAGTAAGAATATGATAAGTCTGGTTCGCTGTGCCCCAAGTATTACAAATCCGACACAATTCATGACCAGCAGAACCTGTGTCGTATAGAAACATGGGGTAAGTATTATTAAAGGTAATAAAAAGGAAACATCCGAATAAATCAGCCGTTTGATCAGCAAATCAACGTTTCAAGTCTATGTTTAATGAAATTGGTATAAAACCAGCACCATTTCACCCACGTTTTTGCTCAAAAAAACAATTACAATCGATCAAGTTGCAATGTATTATCGAAAGCATACTTTATATACAAAAATCAAATAACAATCCCACCCCAAAATGTTCACTTTCGCTATTGAAATCTGCGAGTTACTGTTGCTGATCGCGCTTATCGCTGGTACTCCGTTCTTCTATAAAGCTCATAATCAAGTCCGCATCATAATTCAAACGCTTTTTCAAGCGGTAAAACAAAGGACAATTGAATTAGAAGCGCGTAAAAAATGGGTAGATAAAGAAAAGGCGAGGGGAAATATAGGCGTTAATAACATTTATAATAATATATAGCATAGATTTCGCTAGAGCGACCAAAGTATAGGGATACTCATAAATGGCTTTGGGTCCGAGTATTTCCTCCCATGCAATCGCTCTAGTGAATATGCAAAAGTGCTGTACATACTTTGTTTAAGAGAGTAATAAAGATGAATCGATTGTTGTAATTATTTTTGCAATTCAAATTCAGTTATCCATTATCATACGACTCGTTTCAATACGCACGTAAAAAACAATTGCTTTACTTCCGAAAACAGAATAGTAGCAGAATACAATACAACATTTGTTCATTGTTCCATAACGTGATATATGCAAGAAGCGTATCTTCATTATCCTTTGTCTCTGACAAAAGCATGGAGGGTTCCCGATCTGCTTTGCCAAGTGTGCTGGATCCGGGTAACTATAGTTGATTCGGCGCTTCAATACAGAGAAGTATCACATGTTTGTGTAAGTAAAACGTATAAACAGGCTGAGTTGGGCGGGCGCAGATCGCGCGACTCTTCTTTTGTCACTATCTCATACGAAAAACATCAGACGATGGACGCGAAGACAAGAGTACTGAGTGAAAAGGAGTTCCTGTGGAAATATCAAAAAGACCATCCCAATGCAACCTTAGAAAAAGCGGAAGAAGAATACGAAGAATATTGCAAAACACACGGTAAGCAAGCAAGCGACGCACGTTTATTGGGAGGATAGAGGAGCAGCGGGGAGAAGGGCTTGAATACTGTTACTGGTTTTGTACTATATTGCAAGAGAGGTGGTTGGGTGTTATTAGTTGGGCCAGAGCTGCGTCGTAGAGACATTACGGGGTTCGTAGCAGTAATGGAGAGAGAATAGTTGGAACACGGGCATTGGGAGGAGTGTAGAATAGAGCTTGGTAAATGGCATTACAACACACGAGGGGACAGAGTAATGTGTACATAGGGTATAGACGTAGTAAACACATAGAAGAGAGTATATATCCCAACTTACGTGATTTCTTTAGATGCTGGACATCGTTCAAAAAAAACCCGTATCGATATGATTAGCAAGGATGATTTACTCCTGGCGCTCAAGGCGTTCAAGGATACGAAGGATTGCCAACATAATTCTTTCCGAGAGGAGGAAGAACTGATAGATGAAAATTTGATTACTGCTCAGGTGTGCATCTGTCTGTTTATGTGAATGTGTAGTCCACTAATCTATTCTTGATCCACTGCTGCTCTATTCATTTCTTTCTGTACATATACATAGGAACC